ATTAATGATCTTAACCCGTTAAACTCGCCTTTCATGTTACTTGCTCTGTCGTACCCTTTTCCTCTCACCTTTTTAATGCTCAATCCATACTTAGCAAACAAATCATCAATAGCAAATTTCAAAGATGTTGCAGATGTCTCACTCACATGTGTAATACTCATAAATCTCTCTTTGACTATCCCACTTTTATCAACAAAGCAGAACACTACCGCCATTTCCTCTTTATCAGAAACATCAGCAGATTCATCTACCAGCAAACCAAAAACATCATGATCAATTTCTTCAATAACATATTTGACCACGTCTTCTGCAAAACAATGCACAATATCTTTCTGGATTTTAAGAGACTACATCTGATTATTTCTGGGAGCATTATCTAAAACAACCTTACTCACAACTTCGTTCTGATTAGCAGTGTACTTTAAGAGTTCCACAAAGTTTCCTCTATTAGCTGATTTTTCTGATTCATCATGACCACGAAAAGCTAATCCTTGTTGCAATAAGTATCTTGAAACATCTACGGAAGCATTCAGCCGAATTCGATACTCATTCCTTGTAATATCGTCTTGTTTATGCAAAGCATGTCAATAGACTGGCCTTGTTTCATCAAATTTTCACACTTCATAACTGCTTTATTATGAAAACTATCAACACCTCCCACATGTTCCGAAAAACTCTTCAAACTATTACACCTACAGAATCCATATGTGATAAATGCATCACTTCTTACACATTTACCAGCATTATCTCTGAACAAGTAACAACACAAGCAAAAAGCTTTTTCTGTTTTCACACTGTACTCTAACCTGTTTCTGTTTTGATCAAACCAAGCTGGATTAAATCGCCTCAATGATTTTCCTATCATTATTTGCTTAAAAGTATGCCCACGAGGTTGACAAGGACCTCTAATCAAATATTTTCGGATAACCTCATCTCTTTGGTTCGGATGATAATCTGTTTTTCTTTTTCGATCTGCAGGATCCCAAGGTAAATCAATGTTTTCTGATTCACTTCGAAGTGGATATGGTTCTTTTCTTTTATAGTATCTTTTCAAAGTGTGCATTACTTCGTCTGATAACAAATTAGAGAAGAAAAATATTGTAAATAGAATTAAAAAAATATTAATTTGATTTTAAAAAATCTAGTTTTGCGTATAATATATAAACTTACTTGATAGTTGACTTTGAAGAGTTTGATGTGTTTTTATGCCGCTGTGTGTGAAGAATAGAAACCTAAAAATCACCAACAAGATGTTCCAACTCGAAGACAAAAGAAAAAGCAGTTGCCAACACGTAAAAACCGATCTGTTTCTTCTGCTTCATTTAATTTAGTGGCAAAGAATAATTATTAGGTTAAAGTTTGGGCCAAATTTGTTTTTAATTTAAAACAACTGAAAAATAAATTAAAAAACCTTTTTCTATCTCAATGGACTAATGGACGTTTCTTTTTGTTAAGGGAGGTCAAATTAATAAAAAAATACTAAATGGGCTGGACTCAAATATACATACTTGAAAAACTCTATAAGAAATTCCAAAATTTGGGCAGGTCAACTGACCCCCCATCACTGCACGTAGGTCCGCTACTGAAGGCCAGTATGATATAATCTAATGCCACGGTAAACAAAGAGTTTACCGAGAGATTCACTCTATGGCACGACCGGCTTGGCCTTCCCGGGTCGAGTATGATGCGAAAAAATAATGGGCACACATTGAAAGAAATAAGAGTTATCCCAAAGAATCTCACGTGTGTAGCATGTTCACAAGGGAAACTCATTATAAGGCCATCACCAGTCAAAGTGATTAAAGACTATACGTCTAGATAATGCTGGTGAATTTACGTCCCAAGCTTTTAATGCTTAGTGTATGTCCATGGGGGGTAAGAGTAAAACATTTTGTGGCACATGGACATACACAAAACGGTCTGGCTGAATCATTTATAAAATGCATACAGCTAATTGCCAGACCATTGCTAATGAGATCAAAATTCCCGATCTCAGCTTGGGGACATGCTGTCTTACATGCAGCTGAATAATTCGCATCAGGCCATCTAGTGAACATACATATTCCCCAAAACAATTATTAACGGGTCATAAGCCCGACATATCCCATCTTAAGATATTCGAATGTGCCGTATATATATCAGTTGCTCCACCACAGAGAACTAAGATGGGTCCTCAGAGGAGGATGTGGATATATGTTGGATATGAATCTCCCATAATAAATAAGTAGCTTGAGCCGACCACGGTTGATTTATTCAAGGCCAAGTACGCAGATTGTCATTTTGACGGATCCAATTACCCACTATGAGTGGGGGGGGGAGATAATAATAATAAGCTGGTAAAGGAAATTATATGGAATTAATCATCCTTATAATGGCAAGATCCTCGGACTATGAAATATGAATTAGACGTCCAAAGATAATGCAAAAGCTATCTAATTGCCAGATTCCTTTGACCCGAATAGAGTGACTAAGTCACATATACCAGCTATAAATGCACCTATAAAGAATTGATGTTTAGGAAGGACACAATCAAGTTGCTACAGAGTTTAAAGCCCGTATGAAACGAGGCAGACCATTAAGTTCCAAAGATAAAAACCCTCGGAAATAAAGAAAGTTGCTAAGAATGAATCCGAGGTTGAGAAACCGTGGTTACCCGAGACATAACCGAACCTTAGTTACCTAACAATGGGGCTTGGGACGCCAAGCTTCAAGGTACTGATGATGTTCATGATATTAATGAGATCGTTATCATTGATGTTATGTCCGGGATAAAATGGAACCGCAAGAAAGTCGACGTCGACGATATATTTGCATACAAGGTAGCACTTGAAATGAAATTGATAAGCGAGGATCTATAACCCAAGTCCATAATAAGTGCACTCAATGATCAGATTGGATTAAATATGTGGAGCTGAAATCATAAAAGAAGAGGAATGTATAAGGACACCTCTCGATATAAAGCCAGTTGGACATAAATGGGTCTTTGTGAGGAAAATAAATAAATATGGTGAAATTGTGAGATATAAAGCACGGCATATTGCACAACTATTCTCACAAATACCATGAATATATTATGAGGAGATATGCTCCCCTGTGGTGAATGCTAAGTCTGGCTATATAAAAGAAAAGACTTGATTTGCGGCTAATAGATGTAATGCCTGCATATTTATTTAAGTCCACTGGATAATATATGAGATTACCAGAGAGTATTGAGCGCAAAGATAAGAAAGGTTCTCGAGAACATTATTGCATAAGGCTGGACAAATCCTTTCATGGACTTAGAATAAATGGGCATATGTAAGGTTATAAATGATCCCATCAGTCCACGTATTATTCATAAAGAGGTTTGCAAACAAAGGATTTGTAATCATAAGCAGTGTATATAAACCTCTAGGTAATCAACCAAACAGTTGAATCTAAAAGGAAAGACATAGGCAATAAATAATTCCTGTTTGGGATTACAACTTGAGTACATGAATAATGGAATCCTTATGCATCAAATGGCATATGCTGAAAGAGTACTCAAGGAGATTTAATAAGGACTAAGCCCGCCCATTGACCAAGCCCAATGGTGGTGAGAAGCCTCATATTGGATAGTGATCCATTTAGTCCGTAAATGCCATACCTCAGTGCTATAAGAGCTTTGATGTATTTGGCGAGCCACACTAGGCCAGATATATGTTTTTCCGTGAATCTATTATCTAGATTTAGCTCATGTCCAACCCAAAGGCACTGGAACGAGATTAAACATATTCTTCGTTATCTACAAGGTACGAAAGATTTGGGTTTATTTTACACTAACCATCCCAAGGAGGGATTAGTTGGTTTTGCTGATGCAGGTTATCTCTCGGATCCGCACAATGGTCGATCACAAAATGGCTATGTTTTCACACACGGTGGAACGGCAATATCTTCTTCATTCATGAATTACAGAAAGCCAGAGAGGTTCAAGTTGAACAAGTTCAATCATGTGACAACTCGGCGGATCTATTCACCAAGTCGCTTCCAACCACAACGTTAAAGAAGCTTATAAAGCAAATTGGAATGCGCCGGTTGAAAGATCTTCAGTGAGCTTCAAATGAGGGGGAGTAATACGTGTTGTACTCTTTTTCCTTCACCACGGTTTTATCCCAATGGGTTTTCCTGGTAAGGTTTTAATGAGGCAACATCCCCAAGCGTATTACTAGCTCACGGCGGTTATGACATCCAAGGGGGAGTGTTATAAATCATAGTGGATTGTCATAACAAGCCCAGTAAGGCTCGGCCCATGTCAAGCCCGATCTGGCCCAATGTTATGGAGGTTTAACCTTTTCCTAGTTGTATTAGGGTTTACTCATAACCTCTTGTATGAACCTATATATATATGGCTCTAAGCTAATGAATAAAGCATCCTAGTTCCCTCTCTATTCTCTCTAGTCTATAACAGCCAAATACTCTAACCAATAAAATAGAACAATTATCTTCGCATATTTAGGACTAAATGGTTTTAATCTTTATAATATTCCTATATCAAACTAAAAAAGGAATTGCAAATAAGTATATGTTTACCAAAAAAAGGTAATCAATGTTATTTTAGTACATAATATAAGCAGTTGTTAGGATTTTTTCATAATTTGTTCGAAATATCTTCCAAATTTATACTATTAGATATCTTGAAAGATATAATCAAGGATATGGAATAGTTTTCGGCCCAACCACAGTTTGTATGATTGTATACTAAATGGTAATGGAAGCCCAATCTCGACAGTTTAACATTTGTTATTTTAAAATATATCATATGTAAGTTTAACCTATGTTACTTCTATAGGAAATTGTGTCTTAAGCCCAATGTTTTAAGTTTAAGCCCAATATCTACTAAAACCGAATAATTCACTCATTTAAAACTATAATTTAAATGAAAAGAGGATAAATATAGATAACATCAATTAAAAGACCATAAAACATGGTCATCGTTTAAGTTTTTCATAATAAAACATAAGCTTTAAAAGCATAAGAACCGAGATAAATAGGTTTAAGTTCATTACATAATGATAACATTAACAAAAGGATGTAGACGGATCAACCAAACTAAACAACTTAGATAGATGAGCTTCTTTAGTTTCCTTCCACATCATTTGGACCATCATCGTCAATAACATCTGCTAAGAAGCCATTCCTGAAACCAAAAACATAGATGATAGTGGCATTAGCATGTGTTAAATTTAAAGAACCTACATTGCTTCATGTGTAAACATCGTTTGAAACGTCTTACAGTAAGTTGTCTCTGTCTATTTCATCGAAATCTTGGTCCATGAAGATCCTTGAGCACCGGAATCCAGAGATGAGACATGGATCCCCTACACATTTGATATTTGGATTTTTGTTAAATCTCTAGATAGTATCATTGTCCAATTGGAAAATGGTAAAGATCAAACCTTCGTAAGTAGAGGCTCTCCAATGGCGAAGAACACAGACTACTGGCTCGTTACCTAACTAGTAACTGAACTCCTCGTCATATCCTTTGTTACGCCAGCTATGCATGAAACGGTCGTAATATTCTCCCACAGCACAACATCTGACAATCTCACCACTAAAACATGTTGTAAACGTTATAAGCTAACAATATATGACATAAACTACTTATATTAAACCAATCAAACATTAAACCTCTTCTAAATTTAACAATACTTACGTTGAATCCTTAAGTTCAATCTCTACCAATGAACATTCATCTAGTATTGCATTTTCAGTGGCCACCCATGGAATTCTCTTAGTCGCCGAGACACTCCAAACAACACCAAAAGCATCTAGAAAAATAATATAAATTTCCAACAATATGTTAATGTTTCAATCAAGGCAAAATTGAATAGGAGAGAAAGTAATAGATATCCTTACCATGAACAAAAGAGTCATTAATTCGATTAGCCTTTATGTCGGTAATTGACACAAAATCAAAGAAGTTGGCTTCAGATCTTGGATCGACATGATACATGTTTGTCTCATAGAGACACTTTATCTGATAAGGATGGTTTGAGTTTCTAGGGAATTTTGGAGGGTTTATGACTCGAAAGTTGGACATCAAGTACCATTCACCTTCCACTATATCCCTTTCGAAGTCAAACATGTAAGCCATAGGAGGAATAGTTGCATCTATTCTTTTACCCTGAAATTTTTTGCAAAAATCTAACTTAAATCTAAACCGTATAACTATTATAACTGGTTAATCTCTATAAAAGCAAAAAAAACTTCATCTTTATGACAAAAAGGAGAAAAAATTACCGTTTCATCACAAAGAATCATCTTAGTCATTTGTCCTAAACAGTCGATTAGAGGCCTCCACTTCCTCAGTACCTTGACGAAGATGAACCAGCTAGTCTTTCTTGGAGTCAGATCTGCTACACTCTCGATCTCAAAGAGAAACTCTTCGTTTTCAGCCATTTTTTTGTTGGTAAAGTTGAAAGAGAAGAAAAATGTTTAGATATTATGAGGTAAGTAATGATATGTGAAGTTGAATTTTTGTAGAAGATGAGTCGTATCTGTAAATTAAATATTTTGAAAATATTTTTCCTTCTTTTTATTGGAAAGAGTTATCTAACACGATTTTGTAGGCATGCATGTCAAATCACCACATGCAAAGCAAGCAAAAGGAATTTTTCCAAATTTTCTTTTCTAAGATAATAACATTTATTAATAAATCTAACTGGTTTTTTAGTATAAAAGATATAAAAAGTTAGTCAGCTTTTGGAAACTGTACTAACCAAAGGAAATAATGCAAATATCTTATGAGATTTTTGGAAATCGAACTTTGGATTAATACAAATTCGAATTTTTGAATGATTTATGTTTTTAGAAAACTTTTTATTACCGATATTCTATGTAATTTAGTGTATATGTATAAACTGTATAATTTATTAAAAAGGTTTTAGTAAAGTAATTAAATTGTTATTACCTGGTCAAATAGTATAGATGATTTTCTTTTGGGCTTCAAGCACGTAAAATCTTTTTTAGTTGGCCTACTATAAATGTTGCCAACCGTTTTAAAATGAAGAGAGTGGTTTTTATATTGGACTAAATTATAACCTAATTTAATCCATATTTAGTTTCATATTTAGTTTAAGTAAATAAGATGAAAATTAGTATGAGTAGAACTAATTATTAGCAAATAATTATAATCCAAAAAAAACTTGAAATTAAACTGAATCCCAAAATAAATCCAAAAACAAAAGCAAAGGAACTGTAAAATTGTAAAGACTTAAATTGTTCGAATAAAAGCAAGTAATACGATAACTGGTTAATTCATTGAGGGAAAGATAGAAGTGAATGACTACTAAATGACTTGGTCTTCTCTTGTAATCTCTTCATTCAAATCTTTCCTCACAACTTCGGATCCATCAACCTGAATAGTATCAATCTTGGAGCACATTTTCTTAGTGGAACTTGAACGATCAGTTCCATTACCACTGCTGTCAGACTTCCGCTTTGATGAAGGTGTTGAAGTGGAACTCAAATCTGTTTCATAAGGTTCCGTACCATTGGTAATCATAAGGGAAGCCTGAAACAGTATATGAGATTATTGAGATATAATCTTTTTTCATAATGATAAAGTAAATTAATAATGTTCCATTAAGTTTAAAAAAATCCGAATATTTATAAAATTTAAAAAGATTTTAAACCTGATCAGAAGACAGTATGCTGTTATGCTCTAAATAACTTTCTGATTCTTCATTAGCAATTTAATGAATTTTTCGCCTGACCAAACATTAGACACCTTGTAGTACTCATACCCTCCATAAACATTTTTGTTTCCTACGGTTATCAGAAACTGAAAAGTTTTCCCAATCAATGCTTTAATTTGATCAGGAATTGCATTTGGATCCTCAATCTACACCAAGCAAAGTTTAAGAGTAAAACTTAATTATGATTTAGTCATTACATGCATTACGAATAACATATTATTTCATAGTTATAATCACACCTCATCAAAGGAACCATTAAGAAATTCAGAAGCTGGAGCACCTCCAAGGATCTTTTTAGCCCAACTATCAAACAAAAAATATTTGCTTTCACCAGTGTGATCCATGATGGACAAATGCAGTTTGTATCTATAACGAAAACATTTCATATTAATAACACATCAGAAATATTAGTATAGATAGTATAGATATGATAGTAAATATTAATTCTACTAAAAGATGTACATACTTTGGAACTATTATCTTAGCCCCAGCATCACATTCTTCGCACCAAAACTTTGGTTTAATTGGCTTCTTCACATCTTCGATTTTAACAGCATCATCCTTACACACCTTTTTGTTACATGGACGGCATCAAAAATAATACCATCCCATATCGGTATCAATTTCGGAGATTGTACAACAATTTCCTTACTACGATATATAAAATGGAATTAAAAAAATATATAGAAGACAAAATCAACTAAATTAGCAAGGTCTAAATTACTACTAAAATTTGAGTAATTAAATATTCAATAAAAGATATATATTACCTGAGACTAAGCAAGCATCTCAGAGATTGTAACCCTAGGGTAGTCAATGCCTTCATTAACGTTTTGGGGATATAAATCCCTTTATCACCAGAAGAGTTGATTGTCAAAGCCAAGCTATCATTTGGAAGTCTACATATAAACATATATCGTTTAAAAAGAGAGGTATATTAATCGAATTCAATGAATAAATGATGTTATTACATACATGCTCTTAAATTATTCCATCTCTTCTATTTGTGGATTGATCATCAGAATGGAAGATTCAAAAGCATTTCAATGTACCGTGTGTCTGCAATAATATGAAATTATGGAAGTTAAAACATATGACACGAAATAAAGGTATTCAACAAATCTGAAAATAATTTAAATAGTTTGATGAATAATATTATTACTTTTGTAAAGATTTTGCTTGACAAACCTCAACAAACAGATGACCATGCCATCATTTGACTCATGTATTGCCTTGTTAAGTAAGTCAGCATAATTTTCCCATAAAGTAAATGAGAGACGAATGTCGCTGTAATAAGATTGTTTTGATTATGTAAATTTGAATTTATATATAAATGTTACTGATAACGAATGGGGTTTTTGGGAATATAAGTGATTACTCATTGTCTCTGAGCTCAAACACGATTTTCTTGGTTTCTTTGTTGTAACGATTAAGAATCACTTCAATTCCACCGGAGGAAACAACTTGACCGATAACATCTGTGGATAAATATATAGGACAAATTAGTATAACATGTTTTAAATGTAAAACTAACTATAAACACTTAGTAAAATAATTATATTTATAACTTACCAAATAAAATGTTTTTGTCAAGGGTTCCAGCAAGGATATCATCAAACTTAGCGAATGATAAATAATGATCATCAGAAATCTTTTCAGACTGGTTAATTGTGGTACCATAACGTGTGGTAATCTTGTACTTCAAATGAGAAGGTCGGAACATTCCAGTGGAAGGATGCAAGCCAAAGCTGGTGATTATCTTCCATTCGCCCTCACGCAAACTGTGATCCTTTCTAATCGAAGCTCCCATTTTGTCACCCTATACATTAAAAAACACAATTAATAACTATATGAAGAATAAATAAAGTACATATAGTAGAGGAAAATAAAAGACATACTTCTTCATCCGCAAGAATCAATTCTATTGATTCACTAAACTTAGCTGAAAACATTCTCCAACTATGGAGAATTTTGACTTGGATACGCCATGAGTTTTTGTAAGGTTTCAGATCTTTGAGTGGTGTGAATGAGAGGGGAAGAGCCATAGACATTTTTTATGGAGTAGGTTTTCTTTTGGTTGGGAGAAGAATATGAGTGAGAAGCAAACGTAGTATCAAATTTATAGAGTTCTAAATATTTGTTTTTGGAAAGGAAAATAAATTAATTATGGTAATTTTCAATAATGTTAAACGTTTTGATAGTATAATTAGCAGAATATTCTATATACGCAATATTCAGTCGAAGATGACTGTGGTTAGAATATCTAATCATTTTTTCAAAATCAACGATTGTGATTTGTTTAGTAGAAACAAAGGACTAAGATCCATTCTCCAATATGTTAGCTAATATTTGATGAATATAGTTCCCTAATTTGATGGGATGATGATAAATTAGAACTTGTAATTTAGGTAAGATGTTATTAGATTTCGAAACCGGTAATATATAAATTTCCGAAAAATCAACGCAAATTGAGGACATTGTACTTGCGGATCAAGTGATCTAATAAATGGTAAAAATTAACGAATGAGATTAACGCTTCCAATTAACGGATGAGATTAAACATATTAACCACCGAGCAAATAAATGCTTACAAATTAACGAATGAGATTAAAGCATAATCATTAACGGATGTGATTAACATGTTAAACCCGATTAACAGATCCGAATTATTAGTTAGATCCGCGTGTTATTAAAGCTTGTGATTAACGGTTGTGATTAAATAAATTGAACCCGATTAACAGATACGATTAATTAGTTAGATCCGCGTGTAAACCCGATTAGGAATCATAATTATTTCATTTTGAAACTATAGTTTAAATTCATTGGATACTTCAGCTTTAATAGTATAGATACTAAATAGTCAACATTAATACAAAAGCTAAAGTCTATGATAGGATTGATATGGAAACCAGAAAACACTAATATCTTTTTATTGATCTCAAATGATTTTTAAATATTTTAATATTGCGAAAATGCATTATTCTTTTCCTATTAACCATCGGAACGATACATATCAAAAGTCGCATATATTCACTATATTAAAACCCTTCTTTTTTTCGACTTCCATTATCATAACCTCAAAGAAGACGAAACAATTCTACCCTAACTCCAACTTAATTTTTATCTTACAAAACCAAACTTATATCGACCATGAAGATCGATGCAGTAGCTGATTTAACCCCAAGAAGTAGTGGTTCCATCATAAGGGTCAAGGTTTTAAGTACTTGGCATGCTTGTGATTTCTTTATGAAGAGGGTTATGGTACTTGCTGATGTAAAGGTAATTCACTTTCTTAAATTCGCGTTAAATTTATATTTGTAGATTACTTAGTCAATTAGGTTAAATTAAGAAAAGGAACCATTTTTGTAGGGTGATAGAATAGAGTTAACGATTCCTCCTGGTTTGGAGAATCCTGAAATACCACGACACGTCTATGATGGTGAGTGATATGTTATAAGGGACTTCAAAGTCATCCCCGCTATTCTTAAAGAGAGGAATACAAATCATCCGTACCAGATAAAGTTAACGGAGAAGACTGACAAGATGTAGATTAGTCCAGACTCACTTAAGAAGTTTTACAAGTTTGAAGATTTCCATCATGTTGCTAGAGAGTTGCTTCCATCTAACAACTCTTACGGTTAGTACTTTTTACTTTTATTTATTTCCATAGAACAAATATATAATCTTACAACTATATAATCCTTACAATTAATACCACTTAGTCATAAGATTGGATTTTGGGTTTATTTTAGATTTCTATAGCTGCATTGTTGATGTTGGTCAAGTAAAAGCAGAGGATTTTACTAACAGTCAAAATGGGACGACTTCAAGGATCAATGGATTAGTAATCAAATTGATCAATGGGAGGTTAGTTTTGTAGTAACTTATTTACCATCTGGATTACAAATTCAGGGATGACATGAAGTCTTAGTTAACATGTTTCATCTTTGTAGGAATGAACAACTACTATGCCATATGATTGGCGGTGCTGTTCAATACTTCAACAACCTTTGGCAAGAAGGTGGGTACCATCTGACATACAAAACTGATCATGTGTTATGTATCTTTCGTTTCTGGCGAGTGTCTACGTATGAAGGTAAGTTTTGTATCTTTTGTTTAGTTAATTTCGGCAATTGTTAAGGGTTTTAAATGACTACAGTTTTTAATATCGGCTCATGAACAATGTAGGAGTCCCTTGCATTTCTAATGATACACATATTGGTAGTGGAGCAACTAGGATTTACCTAAATGTTCAAGAAGAAGGTCTTCAAAGTTATCGTACTATGTAAGTTCTCTTATGTTGTGAATCGTTTCTTTATGTGTATGAAAATATTGTGCTAATAATCTAACTTTGAATTGACATTTCCGAGTTCGCTGTTCGGCATTATTTTAGAAATCAAGAATGAAGATAAAGCCAGGGAACGAAATATCAAGATCCAGAGTCGTCCTTCATTTGTGAATTTTTTTTTGAGTTTTCTAATTATATATCAATCGATTTCTTTTATATATTACCTATGGTTGTCAAAAATATTGCATAACAAGGTTAATGTTAATATAATTATATAACCTGGCTTTATCTATGTAATGTAGTTGCAATTTATTAATGAAACACAGCATAAATGATTTAACGAAAATTGATGAGAAAAACGAAATCACACATATTTATATTTACGATGACGTTCCTTTGTAATGAATGGATCGGGCAAAGTAATGAATGGTTTTATGAAACCTAAGAATAAGCATATGTCTTTTCAGATGTCGAAACTCAATAACTTGGATTTTTCTGCCTTTAATCTCTCGAGAGATAATTATTTACAATGGGCGCTGGAAACTAAGATTATCCTAAAATCTCAAAGGCTCGGTGAATGTATTGTGAATGACGAGCCCGAAATGAATAAATATAAGGCAATATTGATTATTCGCCATCACCATGTGAAGAGTCTCAAGGATCAGTACTTGACAATTGAGAATCCCTTGGACCTTTGGAATGAGTTAAAAACGAGATATGATCACCAAAAGACGGTGCTATTACCAAAGGCCATGCATGATTGGAGGAATCTCAGAATCTAGGACTTCATGTCCGTGGATGAATATAATTCAGCCATGTTTAAGATACTTTCTATCTTGAAACTCTGTGGTGAGGATATAACCGAAAAGGATATGCTTGAGAAAACATGTCGGACTCCCAAGCATTTTATTGACCTCTATCAAGAGAGTATTAAAGGGAAAGTTCTGGAAGCCCACTTGGTCCATTATGACAATAAAGATGATTTTGATCATGACAAAGATGATATTATGGCATATGAGACTCCCGATTGCCTAGAATAACCAAGATAATTTTGACATCAAGATTCTCATGATTGTTTTATAGACCATAAGAAAGTATAAAAGACCATAAGAAAGTATAAAAGGCCATAAGAAAGTATTAATGGCCAGAAGAAAATATAAAAAGCCATAAGAAAGTATTAAAGGCATTTACTGTGCTAAGGCCAATATGATAGAAGCTAATGCCACGGTAAACAAAGAGTTTACCGAGAGATTCACTCTTTGGCACGACCGGTGTGGCCATCCCGGATCGAGTATGATGCGAAAATTAATATTAAATACAAATGAGCACACATTGAAAGAAAGAAGAGTTATCCCAAAGAATCTCACATGTGTAGCATGTTCACAAGGGAAACTCATTATAAGGTCATCACCAGTCAAAGTGATTAAAGACTATATGTCTAGATAATGACGGTGAATTCACGTCCAAAGCTTTTAATGCTTATTATATGTCCATGGGGATAAATGTAGAACATTATGTGGTACATGTACATACACAAAACGGTTTAGCTGAATCATTTATAAAACGCATACATCTAATTACCAAACCGTTGCTAAAGAGATCAAAATTCCTGATCACAGCTTGGGGACATGCTGTCTAACATGCAGCTGAATTAATTCGCATCAGGCCATCTAGTGAACATACATATTCCCCAACACAATTACTTACGAGTCATGAGCCAGACATATCTCATCTTATAAATTTGGATGTACTGTCTATATACCAATTTCTCCTCCACAGAGAACTAAGATGGGTCCTCAAAAGAGGATGGGGATATATGTTGGATATGAATCTCTAATAATAAATAAGTAGCTTGAGCCGACCACGGTTGATTTATTCAAGGCCAAGTACAAGGATTGTCATTTTGACGAATCCAATTACCCACCATTATGGAGAGATAATAATAAGCTGGGAAAGGAAATTACACGGAATCAATCATCCTTATCATGGCAAGATCTTCGGACTATAGAAAGTGAATTAGAAGTCCAAAAGATAATACAATTACAAAAGCTAGCTAATCAATTGCCAGATTCCTTTGATGGACCAAATAGAGTGACAAAGTCACATATACCAGCTGTAAATGCACCAATAAGAATTGATGTTCAGGAAGGACACAATCAAGTTCCTACAGAGTCTAACGCACGTATGATACGTGGTAGACCAATAGGTTCCAAAGATAAGAATCCTCGGAAAATTAAGAAAGGTGCTAAGAATGAGTCCGAGGTTGAGAAAATCGTGGTTATCTGAGACATAACCGAACCTCAGATACCTAACAATGAGGCTTGGGACGCCAAGCTTCAAGGTACTGATGAAGTTCATGATAATTATGAGATCGCGATCAATTATGTTATGTGCGGGATAAGATGGAACTGAAAGAATGTCGACATTGATAATATATTTGCATGCAAGGTAGTACTTGAAATTAAATATATAAGCGAGGATCTAGAACTCACGTCCATATTATAGTGCCCTCAAATATCAGATTGTATTAAATGGAAATAAGCTATAAACGTGGAGTTGAATTCATTAAATAAGAGGAATGTATTTGGTCTAATAATCCGGACACCTCTTGATATTAAAACAGTTGGACATATATGGGTCTTTGTGAGGAAAAGAATTGAACATGGAGAAATCTTGAGATATAAAGCACGGCTTGTTGCACAAGGATTCTCACAGAGACCAAGAATAGATTATGAGGAGATATACTCCCCTGTGGAGGATGCTAAGACATTTAAAATTTTGCTAAGTCTGGCTATATTAAAAGAGAAAGACTTGATTTGCGGCTAATAGATGTAATGCCTGCATATTTATATAAGTCCACTGGATAATATATGAGATTACTATAGGGTTCTCGAGAACAGCACTGCATAATGCTGGATAAATCCTTCCATGGACTTAGACTAAGTGGGCGCATGTAAAGTTATAAATGATCTCATCAGTCCATGTATTTTCATAAAGAGGTTTGCAAACAAAGGATTTGTAATAATAGCAGTGTATCTGAATGATTTAAACCTCTTGGTAATCGACCAAACAGTTGAATATATCTAAAGAAAGAATCAGAAATAAAAGACCTAGGCAATAATAATTAAGTTCTGTTTGGATTTACAACATGAGTACGTGAATAATGGAATCCTTGTGCATCAAATGGCATATACTGAAAGATTACTCAAGGAGATTTAATAAGGACTAAGCCCGCCCATTAACCAGGCCCAATGGTGGTGAGAAGCCTCAGATTGGATAGTGATCCATTCAGTCCGTAAATGCCATACCTCAGTACCATAGGAGCTTTAAAGTATCTGGCGAGCCACACTAGGCCATATATATATGTTTTGCCGTGATTATTATCAAGATTTAGCTCATGTCTGACCCAAAGGCACTGGAACGGGATTAAACATATTCTTCGTTACCTACAAGGAACGAAAGATTTGAGTCTATTTTATACTAACCAATCCAAAGAGGGATTAGTTGGTTTTGCTGATGCACGTTATCTCTCGGATCCGCACAATGGCCAATCACAAAATGGTTATGTGTTCACACACGGTGGTACGACAATATCTTGACGATCTCAAAAGCAAACAATCGCAGCCACATCGTCCAACCATGCTGAAATTTTGGTGATGCATGAGGCCAGCCGTGAATGTGTTTGGTTGAGATCCATGACTCAACACATTAGGATCGATTATGGGATGACCGAAGGGAAGGCAACACCAACAATAATGTATGAGGACAATGCTGCATGCATAGCTCAGCTTAAAGACGGATATATCAAAGGAGATAGGACGAAGCATATCTTGCCAAAGTTCTTCTTCACTCATGAATTACAGAAAGTCGGAGAGGTCCAAGTGGAACAAGTTCAATCATGTGACAATTTGGCGGATCTATTCACCAAGTCGCTTCCAACCTCTACGTTCAAGAAACTTACACATCAAATTGAAATGCGCCGGTTGAAAGATCTTCAGTGAGCTTCAAATCAGGGGGAGTAATACTTGTTATACTCTTTTTCCTTTACCACGGCTTTATCCCATTGGGTTTTCCTGGTAAGGTTCTAATGAGACAACATCCAAAACGTATTAAAAGCTCATAACGGTTGTGACATCCAAGGGGGAGTGTTATAAATCATATGGTGGATTGTCATAACAAATCCACTCCGGCCAGGCCCATATCAAGCCCGGTCCGTCCAATATTGAGGAGGCTTAATCTGTTACATATTTCCCCTTGCATCAATCCTTATATAAAGGACTCTATGCTAATGAATAAAGGCATCACGAATTCCCCTCTCTTCTCTCTAGTTTACAACATTTTACACATATGTTTTTGATAAATTTCAAATTTTATAGTGACTTTTTGATAAAATTAGAAAGATGGGTATTTTTAAAAAGTGGTATTGGAAAAGAGGTATTTCCCCCCTTAAAATATATTATGTACATCTATTATGTAAATATATTTAAATATATATATTACATATATTTTATTTTGTTTAAATATAAAATATATAAAAATAAAATATGAATTATACATCTCATTTTTGGATATAAAATATATAATTCAATATATATATATTTCATTAGATTTCTTTTAAAAATAATTTGGAATAAAAATGAAATATATATTTTGGATATGAAATATATAATTCAAAATAAACCTTTCATTGAATCACTTAATATTTTTGGATAAAATAGAATATGTAATATATATTATGAATTAATATATAAATAAATGATACAATGAAATATTACTAACAAATATTTTTCTTCAAATAAAATTATAATTAATTTCATGTCATGTATGCACTAATAATTAATAGAAATGAAGAAGGGTAAAATTGGAATATATATTTTTGAATATTTTTGGTAGGAAAATGACAATATTTAATATTTTAGGTATTAAATTGCATGTTTTTATTATTTTGGGTATTATTATTCCAACAAAAAAAGATCAAGTATTAAACGTCCAAATAAAAAATAGGTGAGGTATTTTTAATCTTTTTCCCAAATTTCTTTTTCAACAACAGGTATAATTTTATGAGAGACTCTACTCTTAAACTAATAATAGTCTGTGGCACCATTTTTTTGTAACTAATTCTCAAAATCTTTTTCTTGTTCTTCTTTTTCTTGTTTATGTGATTGTTTATTTCATTTCCGTGAGAGTGAGATATCAATTGATTGCTGAGGACCGACATTGTCATCAACAACTCAGATTTTAATGTGAGTGAAGCATAAGAAGAAGCAAAAGAAGAAGAAGAAGAAGAAGAAGAAGAAGAAGAAGAAGAAGAAGAAGAAGAAGAAGGATGTGTGATCAATATCGACGATTACGACGAGTCAACCATATGTAACTAAATTTGAGAATGTTTATTGAAGAAAAAAAAATTTAAGGTATGATGGACAAAGGAAATAATAATGCAAACACATAAAAGTTTGACGAGTTTAATTTTTTAGCAATATTTTAGCAATTTTTTAAGATACCCTCTAGTGTAAATCTTACCTCTAAGATCCCATCAATAATGTTGGTCTTAACAATGGTACCACATAATAAACTACCATGAACCCAAATCAGTATTAATTAATCTACATGGTTTAAAATTTTCAATTTTGAAGATTAAAAAACGTAATCATGTGACCAGACTTTTATTAAAAACGTTTAATAATATGATCAAGATTATTGATTTGTCCATATGATCTATAATCTCTATAAACGGAGTATAAAAGTTTTCAGATATCTGATCATCGAACGAAGAAAAGACTCATGCATGTTATCAGTGATCATGGAGCTTGCAAAAATACTCATTTCCTATCAATGAAATTAATTGGATACTACAGTCTATAGCCAGTCAGCCATACCAAATTTGAAGAAATTATTGGATACGATATGGCATATTTATTAGAGTTTTAGTAGAATCATCATGTAACTAATAAGATATATTGCTTTTTCAAAACAAAAAAAAACTAATAAGATATATTTTCTTTTAATGTTTGACAACAAACACCCATCATTTATTATTTTGCGTATTATTTTTCAAAAAAAACAATCAGGTATTAAACGTTCAAATAAAAAATAGATGAGATATTTTTAAGCTCCTTTCCCACAACAGAGTTTACAATTCATTTAAGGCCCAATTAAATTTTTCCATCAAAGTAGTTTTTCCTATTAAAACTTTTATAAATCTATATATACATTTTTCAAGTAATTTGGTATTATAAACTTTTATTTTATAATATTTGCATAATAAATCATTGACATTTTAATAAATACAAAACTTTAAGATAAAATTTTTAATAAAATCACAACAGCATCACAAAATTGGAAACCAATTATTACATTAACAAAATTTCCTAAAATATTTCCCTAATAAATTGAAAGTCTCTCAAATATTTTTATATGATCTTGTTTGTTTTTAAATTAATATTATTACATATAACGTGTATAATAAAAATATATTTTTCGCATATGTTTCAATCTGTCTTTTTGAAAACGAACTTATTATTAAATCTATAAAGAAAAACAAATATGTACAACGTCACGCATCAGTTAGAAAATTTTAGACAATGGTTCATACTATTATAATTAGGAATAACATTCTTCTAAACGGGGTTTGAGTTTACATAAATTTGATTGAAGGGGTTTGAGTTTACATAAATCCCTTATATATTATAGAGAAGCATTTTTAAGAGGAAAAACTGATGTGGCACTCTTAGAAAGCTCCTCACAAAAAATTGCACAATTAGCACTATAGAAGTTAAAATTTACAAAAACAAATATTTGTAAACATTGAAAAATTGAGACTAAGTAAATTCGATTTACTCTCATTTTTTACATAAATCCTAATTTTTTCAGCTTGTATAAATTGTCTCATTTGTTTAGAAGCCATATTCCACATTGATTTTTATCCTGTATACTGTGTATGTATTTTTCTAAATGAATAATTTTACGGGCTTATTACAGAAAATGCGACTTTATAGCCCATATATTTTGATCTACCATTTCCTTATTGAACTTGTAGATATGCCATTTTTGATTCAACGGATAGACAATCTCTTTCTTCCTATATCCACAAAAAATGTACACACAAACTGAATATGCACACACGTTTCTCTTGTTCATTGCTCTCTACCATAGCTAGTCATTCCTTCATTTATACATCCCTAACCTCCACTACCACAAGCATCTGAATAAATAACTCATATTCCCTTTCTTGAGCACGCAATGCACATTTACTTTTTTCAGCAAGAACTAGTGTGTGTCATGCTCCAATCCTGCCAATAGACACCACAGAATCCTAAGTTTCCTTTAACACAAGACCACCAATGTTTTGTAAATTCGTTGAAAAAGAATGTGAGTGAAAGGGAGATGATCACATATACAAGTCATAAATTAAAGTGAATAATATCTTAGAAATATCAGCAAAACATCAACAAGTGGGAACATGTTACAAGAAGTTCTAAGAGAAGGAATACTAAACCATAATCACTGTTGCCGAGGGGAACCCAAACCAAAGATGATAAGAACACAAAGATCAACGATAACACAACAACCACATAAACATGGCATAAAAGAGAGATTACTAAACCCTACTCACCACTATGGAGGAGAACCCAAACCAAGTAGTATTAAGCCACTAATGCATGGTTGTAAACCGTAGAATCCAAACAGAAAACAACAACAAACTCAAGAGTTTGCACTTCACCTTGTAAAATGGGTATAGGTACCTACATTTATGAGCTGAATAATATCGAGCAGGTGGTTAGCAAACAAAAGTAAAATCAAACGTCGTTGTCTTGCGAGGTCGATTGAGCTTGTCTCAATCTCAATTTTCAGGAAATAGTATTGTTAGACGGCTTATGATCAAAAGTTCCAGGTTTCAAAGACATATAATTTACATTAAGATGAAATCAAGGCAAAAAGATTATTACTTTCGTTGTGCATTAGCTCTTGCTAAGATCTTTGATTTTTCTGCAATCATGAATAAACATCTGAATTAAACAAGCAAAAATCAAAACCTCGAGATACATTTGAATCAACAAAGACCGAAGAGCAAAGTATGCTTTTAACGAAGCCCAAACAACAATCAAAACCTTAGTTTTATTCTTGAATTTTTTGTTAATTAAACTGACCTTGAACTAATCCGTTGAACAGTATTCATTTTGACCATAAACCCTAAGCTAATCCCAGCCACCACCTTTAGAAGCTAAATCAGAAAACAAAGATGCAATGAAAATTTCTTGAAATTTAAGTTCAGTTTCTACAAGATTTAGCTTTGCAAAATATGTAGAAGCAATCAATTGAAGACAAAGGGAGTTTAATACCTCGGTATCTTTCAGGGACGGAGCTGAAGGAAAAGCTATGGCAACGGAGGAGCATCAGACGATCTTCAAAGCTCGAGTCTATCAATATTTTTAAACTCCATTGTTCGATTAGATTTCAAAAGCGGAATAAAATAAAGAAAATAGATGTTGATGGTGAGGAAGGGAAGAAAATCGAAACTTATGGTTTCATCGCAAACTGGGTTTTCTCGATTTTCCTTCAGTTCAGAATTATGTGAACAAGGTAATTTCGTCTTTCCATGCAGCTGATAATGGAAAATCCACAAACTAATACGAAAAGGGCTGAATCAACAAAGGCCACGCCATAAAGTGGCTTTCTCATAATTAATTCTAATTTTACAACATGGTGGGAATCAACGTCAGAAATTAAAGACTATGTTCATGTTTCTTATTATAAGGGAGGTGGACGTGATTTCTTCGAGAAACAATAAATTCTTCAAGATGAATAAACTAGAAATTATGCATTTGAATTCGCAAGTCAGCCACCAAACAAATATGTAACTCAGCCTCAATAAATCAGCCACAACATGAATAATATTTAAGTAATCTTTAAATGATTTTTTTTCGGCTGCCAAATTCAGCCGTAACGTCAATAAGTCAGCCGTAACGTCAATAAGTAAGCCGTGGCAGGTTTAAGCTCGGCAGAGGGTTCGAGAATAGGGTCCTGCCCAACTGCATAATATTTAAGTAATTAATCTTTCGTCTATAAGTCAGCCGTAACATGGTTGAGTTTCCGTTAAGTCAGCCAATTACGACTGAGTTAGGTCTCTGAAACATACGTCAACCGTAATGACATTTGATAACTCAGCCGTTATCGATAACTCAGACAACCGGAGAAAGTTAAGTCAGCCGTGTCGAAGACATAACTCAGCCAAATTTCAGATAACTCAACCATCAGAATATAACTCAACCGCAGTTGCGGCTGAGTTATGCGCGTAAGTCAGCCGTTGGCCCAAAACTCAGCCGTTTTCCATAACTCAGCCGTAACGTAAAATAAGTCAGCTGTAACGTAAAATAAGTCAGCCGTAACGTAAGTTATGGCTGAGTTATTGGAGACACACGGCAGAATATCTGACGTGGCGATTGCATTCTTCGTAATTATTTTTTCATTTAACGTGTAAAAAAGGCACGTTGGGAATTAAAAAAAAAACCCGAAATACCTAAGTTATAAAAAAAGATTTAGCAGGTTCTGGTCATTTCACCTAAAATGTGTTGTATCTAAGTAAATCTCCCTATATACAACTATGGATTCTATTTAAGTGTACCTTGATATTTAAAAATTTTATAGGAAGAAAGAAATCCAATGTATGGCAGTAGGCAAAGCTACTAGACAATTTCATAAAGAGTGGACATATCTTATTTTCAAGAGAGACTTTGTTGATAAACCTATAATGTGTGTTCTTCGTTTTTGGAGAATGACTGAATTTAAAGGTAAGTAAACTTCCTTCACCAATTTTTTAGGTCCCTATAATAATGAATGAATAATTACACGTGTATACTTGGTCAGTGGCGGATCCAAAACTATTTTTAACCTCGGGCACGAAATAATAAAAATAAACTTTTAACTAAAATAAAAATAAGTCTTACAATAGAAAAAATATCTATAAAGTTATCCTACGGTCTTCCATATTTTGGAACCTTTTCACCACTTGCTCGTTTGTCACTTGATCGAGTAATTATCTTTCAATGAAACAAACTAGACAATCATTCATAAACTGATCGCCTATACGATTACGCAAACTAGTCTTCACAATTTTCATCGCAGAGAAGCATCTTTTAACTGTAGCTGTAGCTATAGGTAAAGTCAAAACTAGCTTTAAAAGTCGATAAACCTGAGGATGTGAAAGATGTTTCCTTGTCTCCATCATCACACGTGCAAGATCTCCTAAACTCTTCAAATTAGCAAATCTTTCATCTTCACGGATGTTGTCGATGTATAAATCAAGTTGATGCTCGAGTGCTATACGATCGACATGAGTAAAATCTTCTGGATAAAACTCAGATAATCTCAAAACTTTCAACTGATTAAAATCATGAAATGAATCAACAGGGCTTAAAGAAGCAACACATCCAAGTAGTTCAGCGTTTACCTCATCAAAGCGATCATTAAACTCTTGAATTTGCATATCCAACACAGTGTAAAAACACTCTACTTGGTAGTGATGCAAGCTGGTCATGTTGCTTCGTTTTCTAGACTTTCTTGGATCAACAAATTCTCTATCCATAGTGACTAACTCAATGTCATGATTCTCACAAAAAGATGAAACTTTATTAAGAAAAGAATCCCATCCATCATCCCAGAGCTTGCATAATTGATGCTTGGTGAACTTCACTAATGACATAGCATTCAAAATGTCTTGGTCTTTCCTTTGTAGTGCCACTGATAAACTGTTCGTGAGTCCAAGAAGAAGCAACATCAACTGTAAGTAGAACACAAAATCAAAGGTATTAAAGTACTTGAGAAGACCATTAGCTTGTCGTCTTTTGGTACTATCAGTCCCTTCCATTTCGATATATTCAAGCACTTTAATGATAGAAGAAAATAAATCAACCAACCGGAGTAATGTTGTGTAGTGAGAACCCCAACGAGTATTACCAGGTCTCTGTAGTGAGAGCTCTTGATTCAATCCTTTTCCTGTCTTAATTTCACCTTGACTGATTTCTTCCTCGATCTTTTTTCTATATTCCTCTCGGAGCATGTCCTTTCTTTTACAAGAAGCCCCAACAACATTTATCAAGACATAAATCATATCAAAGAAATCTCCGACTTCAAAATGTTTCTTAGCAACTGCCACTACGACTAACTGAAGCTGATGAGCAAAACAGTGGATATAATAAGCAGAACTATTTTCTCTCAAAATCAGAGATCTCAACCCATTGAATTTACCTTTCATATTACTAGCTCCATCATATCCATGTCCCCTTAATTGTTTCATACTCAAACCATGCTTAGCAAATAATGAATCAATAGCACATTTCAGAGATGCAGAAGATGTCTCTTTAACATGGATAAGACCAATAAATCTTTCTTTGACTGTCCCATGTTCATCAACAAAACGAAAAACCACTGCCATCTGCTCTTTATCTGAAACATCTGCAGATTCATCCACCAACAAACAAAAGATATCATGCTCAACTTCATGAATTATAGATCCAGTAACTTCTTCTGCAAAGCAATGCACTATATCTTTCTGAATTTTAGGAGACACCATCTGATTATTTTTTGGAGCATTTTCCAACACAACTTTACTTACAAGCTCGCTTTGTCCTGCAGTATATTTCACAAGCTCTAAGAAATTTCCTCTATTAGCTGATTCAACTGACTCATCATGACCTCTAAAAGGTAATCCTTGGCGTAGTAAATATCTACAACAATCAATTGACGCATTCAATCTTATCTTGTATTCATTCTTTACCATGTCATCTTGCTTATGAAAAGCATGAATGATTGATTGACCTTGCCTCATCAAATCATCAGCTCTTTTTAATGCATTATTGTGAAAACTATTCACCAATCCTACATGCTCTCGCAAACTCTGAAGATTTTTCCAAGTATCAAAGCCTTTTGTCACAAATGCATCACTTCCACCCTTATTTTATGTGTAATCTCTAAACAAATAACAAAACAAGCAATAAGCTTTGTCTTTTTTCACACTGTATTCCAACCAACTGCCATAGAGATCAAACCATTCTGGATTGAATCGTCTCATTTTGTTTCCTGATGGTGTTTTAGGAAAATCATGACCGCGAGGTTGACAAGGACCTTTAATAAGATATTTGCGTCTTACCTCATCTCTTTCATTAGGATGATACTCCGATATTCGTTTCCTATCCGCAGGATCCCAAGGCAAATCTTCTGAATCTTGTTCAGACGTGGATTCAAACTTTCTTTTGAAAAACCTTTTGATTGATACCTACAAAATAATGATTATATTAACAAATTAAAACTATATTTAGATTAAATTTGACATATTCATGAATTGTCAATCTAAAAACATACCATACAAAGTTATAAAACTACATCATTTCCTCTAAAATTTAGAAAACACTACGTTCATACTTAGCAATCATAATAAAAAAATTAAACATAAATACTTACTGTAGACATATTTGATATTAGCTAGATGCCTTGAAAACTAAGAAAAAGCCAAAAGAGAAACAACTAAAAAAAGTTTTAGTTGCTGAAACTGAATTTTTGTGAACAAAGAAAAAAAGTTGCTGGGAAAAGAGATGTACTAGGTTAAAGTGTCGTGACAAAGTGAGTTATTGTTATAAATTAATTGTTGCAGATTTTTGTGGGCTTTCTATTTAATTTTAACGGATTTGGACAGAATATAGTATGATTAGTTTAAATAAAAGGAGGCATGGACCACTCATTTATTAATCATAAATAAACTAAAGTTATATAAATTTTTTTTTTTTTTAAAGAGTCTCGGGCACGTGCCCAACCCTCTCATGCACTGGGTCCGCCCCTGTACTTGGTTGTCTTTATTCATTAGGTAATCCATGTATTATGTCTCAATATGGATCTTCTAAAATGTTCTTGGAAAAAGAGTATGACAAATGAATCTATTCACTTAACTGTAAGTTCAATTGTATTTGTGTTATTTTAGTAGTATACAAACTTAGACACACTCCTATTACCTATAATACAGTTTCATTTAACCAAACTCATTGTGATATAATGTGTTTTTCTGAACATATAGGGGAAGTGAAAGATTGGCTGACTATACTTGGGAAGGACCTAGCGAAGAGGACGATGATTAATATTTTTAACTTTATGTTTAATTATCCTATGTTTTGTAAACTTGTACTAGGGATGGACCCGCACGTACGTGCGGGGTTCATTGCTAAACTTAAGTTTATCAGTGAGTTTACAATATTCGGATCTACATTATAAGAGATCCGAATCGAGTGTTAATCAAATTAATGATGAGTTAGAAATCAATTAAATTTGTGAACTATCACATCACATAAAACAATAGAAAACATTAAAACTTTTGAATAAAATAACTTAAATATAGATGTCAAGAGAGTCAAACCCGTTCACTATGCATGTCGTGCAACAAATTAAAATATTTTGGTCCACCCACATGAATAAATAATATGTCTTCTTGCATGTTATTAGACATAGTTAAGATATACCTTTTATTTTCTAAATTATCCGATATTCGAAATATTTAAGTACTTAGAAACTTACTTTTGCTATTTAAAATTTCATATTCATGTATCATACCCGTTATTAGATATTTGAAAGCTAAAATTGAATTGAAGTTTCCAAATTTTTTTATATCTTCTTGTTTTTGATGAGAAATAATTTAGATACTTTTTTAAAAATTACCCGTTCCCTTTTTGTACCCGTTCTTTCCCTTTAAGATAAGATCATATATATATATATATATATATGACATCATTTACATGTTTTCTGTTTTAAAAATAACATTATATAGCCTGTAATTAACTAATTAAATTACCGGTCCGTTCTCTTTTCATATCCGTTATTTCATGTCCCGATATTTGAAATATTTAAGTAATTTGAAACTTACTTTTGCTATTTAAATTTCATATTCTTGTATCATACTCGTCATTTGATATTTGAAAGTTGAAATTGAATTTAAGTTTCCAAATTGTTTTATATTGTCTTGTTTTTGATGAGAAATAGTTTAGATAATTTTTTTTTGAATTACATGTTCCCTTTTTGTACCCGTTATTTCCCTCTATATGTTCGTAATTATTTTTATATAAATAAAATCATTTACATGTTTTTTTTAAAAACAACATTATATAGCTTGTAGTTAACTAATTAAATTATCCGTTCTTTTTTTGTATCCATTTTTTTGTCCTGATATTTGAAATAAGTAATTTAAAACTTACTTTTGCTATTTAAATTTCATATTCATTTATCATACCCGTCATTTGATATTTGAAATTAAAAATTGAATTTAAGTTTCCAAATTTTTTATATTTTCTTGTTTTTGATGAGAAATAGTTTAGAGTTTTTTTTTTTTGAATTACCCGTTTCCTTTTTGTACCCGTTCTTTCCCTCTAAAATAAGATCATATATTTTTTTTATATAAAGGGCATCATTTACATGTTTAAACAAAAATAACATTATATAGCATGTAATTAACAACATTAAAAACCAATACCGTTAATTATTAGGCTATCGAAACATATAGCATGTAATTAGAGTGTAATGTTCTTTTTTGTGTTACCACAAAATTTAATGAAATGTAACCAAAGAGTCATATTTATAAAGTAAGAACTTATCTCGAATTAAATCATCAAAAAGAAATGAATCAATTGAATAAAATATATATTAATTATTTTAGTAAGTAGCTATGGTAAATATAGATTAAGTAATGGAAATTAAAATAAATATTTGATTCCATTTTTAATCATAATTATTTGATTTTATTTATTTATTTTTAGCATACATTAACTTTTTTTTGGATTGTCAATGTTATATTATATAGAAAATATTATAATCATGTGATATGATTTCCTGAAGTTTTCTAAAATTATTAAATGCTAATTGTATATTAGTTAATATATAGCGAGATTGGGGGGGGGGTTGATATATTATTAAATTGATGTTAATAATTAGGAATTTTTATTTGACTATTTTATTTTTGCTCCTATGCTATTTTTGGGTTTTTTTATTTTATTTCTAGGAAATATATGAATATCTCATTTGTAATCAATATATCTCAAAAAAAAAAAATTGTTTTGCTATATTTGCGAGATTTTTTTCAATATGAAGATTTTTAATGTGAAAAAATATTGTATGTGATATAAAATATTTATTCTATTTTATGAAAACAAATTTTTATTATTGATTTATTGAATATTTTTATTAAAACATTTAAAATTATTTATTTAAGATTTTATCGTTTATTTTTATTTTATCATATTATCAATTCTGTTGAATATTTCTCTCCTTATTTTATGCTATTGTACAATAAATAACATATTTGTTTTTGTGTTTAAAATATATGATGATTTTGTAAAGAAAAATAAATTTATTATCATATCATAAGAGATATACAAAATAAATGTAACATAAACCACTTGAATAAAATCATTAAACCAAATAAATAAAATACAATAAATTAGATTTTATTAAATATTAAATTATTGCTTAAAAATATCTCAAAAAATTAAATATGTTACATATATAAATTTTCGAATTTAATTGTCCACTTTTTTGGCAACAAAATTAATATGATTTCCATAAATATAGGTTGTTTCTGTTTTTTATTATTTTTTATTTTTTTAAAGATTTTGCTGTCATTAATTTTGTTTGGCAACATGTTTAAGTTTCATGAATTTTATTTTAAAAATTGGGGGTGTTTGGCTTCAAGTTGTCCTTCCCAATTAATAGTATAGATGTCTATGTTTTGGACTACTTTTTTAATTTACTTTCGTTTTTTTAATTTCATTAAAAACCTTTCATTATAATTGTGTTTTTTTACAAATTTTAAATGTGTCATGATCATGCAGAATAATATAGGGGATCAATCCCTATATACAAAATTAAGGACTATGAAACCAAACTTAATGATAGGAGGCATACCTTAAATAAATGATTCTGCTAGAGTATACTATCTCCCAATCTATATATAAAAAAGTAATCAACTTTGTTAGATGTTTGGAAAGACTTCTTTAGTCAACAATATTTGGAAATCAATAATTTAAGGAGCATCAATCAAATTTGGAAGTATAAATTTATATAAGAGCATTGCATTTACGAATTTTATAAAGTTTCAATTCAACTAACATTGAAAATAGTTATATCTTTATATTAAGTTTAATGTAACCACTGCATGCAAGGAGTCAAAGAGACAAAAAAAACTCAAGACCAACAGCAACTTTATGGCTAAGCTTTATACAGACGTAATGTTTCATTGTGAACTGCAATTTCTAAATCAGCTCTAGAAAATTCTGGTATTTTATATATTTAATGCAAGGAGTCAAAGAGACAAAAAAAACTCAAGACCAACAGCAACTTTATGGCTAAGCTTTATACAGACGTAATGTTTCATTGTGAACTGCAATTTCTAAATCAGCTCTAGAAAATTCTGGTATTTTATATATTTAATATAGCCAAAATTAACACTATATACTGAATTAAATTGACAATTCAGATGGCATATAGTTATTCTTCTAAGGTTTTGGTAAATTACATTTTATTCAATCATGAAGTATGGAAGATAATATCTGCATAAAATAAGAATATATCCATTTTGTTAAAAATTAATATTACCAAAATTGTTCAATATATACAATTATTCATTCACCTTAATAGTTGCAAACTGAATCCTAAACATTTATTTACTTATCGACGTGACTTTTCAGTTAAACCTAATTTGTACCCTTTCTAATCTATATAAGGGGCTTCTTACAACTACTTTACGCCTCCCTACTCTCAATTGTAGCATCAAAATTTCAAACTCTTTCTTAAAACGTGTCACTACCATGGTTCATTTCGACAGGCTTCGTGATATTCATTCATGGAGGAATGATTGGAAAATATGTGTAAAGGTCCTACAGAAATGGAGGAAGATTGATGAAGGAGAAGACACTGTTGAAATCATCTTCTTAGATGTTTTTGTAAGTTCTTTTTAACTATTAATATTGTTAGTAAAGGTTGTTAGCAATTTATATTTAACATATTACTAATTTTATTCAATATTCCTTAGGGGGACAAGATGCATGGAACAATATCCAATGATCTGTTCCTGCAATTAAACAACAAATTGCAGGAGAATGACTGGAAGATTGTTTATAATTTCTCCATTATCCGTAAAACAAGCCCCATCAAGATTGTTGATAACAGTTATTGCATTGCCTTCATAGAGGAAACAATTTTGGATGACTCAGAACCACTGTCTAGCAATCATTTCATCAACTACCTATCTTTTGATAGAGTATTCGATAGTTTCCATGCTGTGAGGAACGTCTGCTTAGGTAACAATTCAGAGTTTTAATCATTATTTTTTCATTGATAGTTAATATAGTTTATAATGGTATTTATTCAAGTATAGACATTATGAGGCAAGTTGTCCGTGTGGAACCAATCCTACATGTGGATGATCCAAATGTTGTGCACTATCATGAAAGGAGTAGGCTTGTGAGGTTCTGTCTGAGAAACCTAGAGTAAGTAATCTATTGGAGTTTTTATGAACACTTTTTTAATGATGATAATATTGATAGTTTTACCTATTCAATATATGTTTGGTGTAGGGGACATGAGATTCAATGTGTTGCTTACAACGAACATGCTGATTTCTTTGAGAACAATTGGTGGCCAATTATGTGGTTATATATTCTTTATGTTATAAGTAATGTAGATTTTAGTATTATATATTCAAAATTTAAATAATAGTATTAAACATAACTAACATAAACAGTAATATTTTATTATTAATAATATTGTTACTAATTATCAAAGTAGAACGTATAATTATATTTAACAATTCATAATTAACTGACACTAAGTCCTAAACAAAAACTAACATCTCCTTATATATTAAAAGAGAAGTACACATTTGAGCATTGCTAATTGATTGCTAAAATTTACAAAATTGCCTTTCAATTTGTGAGAAAGGAGGCTTTTTATTAAAATTAAGAGGGTAATTTGAGTCACTATGACAAATTGAAATCGAAATTGAAACCCAGTTTGAAGGAGATCCGCGTCTGTGCCCGTTACATTCTCGGATCCTAGAGCTTCGGGTTCGATCCTGCGAGAAAACATTAACATACATATCTTTATTTGGCTTAAAAAGCTTTGTCCACAAAACTGACTAATTTCGAGTCCACTACGAGAATTCTATATGGGCCTAATTTGTAGAAAAAATCATTTCAAACGTAATCGTATCTATCCGTGCATTAACTACCCGCAATTACTGCTAATTTTTTTCCTTATTAATCGTTGGACCTATGATATTCTATGATTGTTTTACAACTAAATTTACGCTCAATGACACAAATCAATCATATTTCATTACCTAAATCGTAGCATATACTTTAAAATTTTGGAAATATTACACAACGGCGGATTTGACTTACCTTATTCATATGTAACCATCCAAAATCAGTGATATCAATTTATTCAAATGCCAATCACGGGTATACCTCATCCCTAAACAAAGAACTAATTCATCCCTAAACCCTTAGCTAATACTTCTACCTATAAATATCGACATTTTCTACAACTCAAGCTACATCACACCTTTTCTCACCATAATCGTTCTCGCTGATTGTGTGCTCTGTAGTCTCGGTGTTTCTTTATTCATCTTCTTGACAGAAGTTGATTTAATTGCTGATCTCCATGATTTTGCTTGGTAGCTTGGAGGTGTGGCCAAGTTTGGGTTCTGATTTTCACTTTCTTGGTTGTTTGGAGTAGACGGTGATAAGACATATCCCCTCCTACAAGTTAATATGACATAAGAATGTCAAAGGCCATAGCAAAACATTGAGGTTGGGGATTTCAAGTAGAGAGTTAAAAGAGCATCTCGCAATGTACCTCTGATTCTACTCTGCAACTCCAAGAGTCTCATTTGTATCCCTCAGACTTGGATGCTTCAAAATCAGAAAGACTAAACGGAAAGTTATATTAAACTGTAAACTGTAATTTCATTCCTGTTTCATATCTTTATGAGAAAACAAGAAAGTAAAAGAAGAAGGAGAAGCAAACTGAGAAAAAGTCCTCAGGTCTCTTGGGGTGATTACATTCTAATACGACATAATGAGTAGTCAAGCGGGCTAGAGGTCTAATAGAAGAATGAAAACTCCTTCAGTCTCATTATTTACAGTATTTTATCTACACTTTTCAAATTCAGTTTACAGTATGTTAACATTCCTAAACCATTGATGTTATCATTCTACCTATAAAGATTGACTGTTGGAGAAAAGTATATTCATCATATTCTCCAAATACTCTTATCAGCTTTCGCTTACCTTTCCACCAAAGAAATGGCTTCCTCCTACGCTTTCCTCAGGATGTTAGCCCTGCAAAACATCATGAAAGGTTCAAGTGAGAGTCCTGCACACTTCCTAGACTTACACAACCAAGCTTGGTGAAACCTTTTACATGGTGCTATCTGCTGCACAAATAAGTTAATGTCCATGTCTGATTTCTATTTCTAAGATCCTTTCTTTTAAAATACTGACTAATATATCGTTTTCTTTTACTAGGGAACAAAGATCCATGCATTCATACATGTTACTAAGCCTTAATGTTTATTGTATTACATCTACGCTTTTGCATTTTACTGCAAGCTGTTTTTCATAATGTTCCTTATTGATCAAACTTATCATTAATAAAATTCACCTGGGATTATTTGAATGTGTTTTTAAGATCAACTAATTTATTAGTCTTTCCAGAAGCAGAGTACAACCATAGATTATAGTTGCAGAAAGTGTGTATAGTGAACTAACCTTCCTTGGTAGAATCAAAAATCTGGGTTGGTTTCGAAAGATTCATCCCTCCATGAATTAGATAACCGGATTTTTACAACCTATAAGGGAAAATTTGTCGCTTCATTATGTTAAAGTAATCAATAGCTCATATACATTTTACGAGTCTAATGTGAATTCTATGTTAAAATAGATTGAATGTCCTGCCTCTTACCGGTAAACATAAAGCTCTCTTTTTAATTTGTTAGCGCTCTTAAAGGAAGAAGCCTGTCCAATTTTTCTTTTTACATCACTCCCCCTAATTGATGTGTTTCTAAAAAAACCCAAACAAAATAGGTAAGAGTAGTATCACCAAATGTATGATAAACTACACAATATTTCGGTCTCCAATCAAATAGCAAATAAGTAAGCCACAAAAAAAAACCAAAGACAATACATTATAATCAACGAGAAAGAAGCAACACCGAGAATGGTTATATACCCAGAAATTCACAAAAAGCAATTTAACTGGTATGGACAGTCATCTCCTTACCGAAATCTGAAAGTGGATTTAGAAATTGAGAAACAAATGTGAGTTGGATCTGTCATGGTGTTGTTTCAGAGTAGATAGACCTTTCGATACGGATTAGCGTAGGATGATTTCGGTAATAATCACATGTGCGTAGGCGTCTTCGAAGGTTTGCCCATTCAACTGTGACCATCGAGAGTGAAAGTGAATCTAAAGGAATCTTTTTTTTTTTTAAACAATCTAAAGGAAGCGTGAAGATCTAATTTAGATAAACAGTCATGAATTGTTTGATAATTAATAACCAGCTTACCTTTGGCACAAATTGCTAAGAGGAATTTAAAATCTCATGTGTGTTGTTGAATCTACAATCGATTCCTTTAGAGTAGATCGAGCATCCAATAAATTAGAAACTTGAATAGAGTTTTGCTTCATCTAAAATCTGAAATCTACCCACATGCAAAGGTGTTGTGAAGAATCGATACATTAGTGGTGAGCTTAATCACTGAAATGTAGACAACTAAATGGGCTTTACTGGCCCAATTAGAGTAGTTAATAACAATAAAACGGAGCCCACTTGATTTAGAATGTAATTCATTTTTTTTTCATCAAAATATAATTATATTTGATAATTGAAAAAATCGTAATACAATTGGTCTGATAGCCATACAAGCGGATTTAAAAAATCAGAATAAAAAGGAAACGAAATACATCCAGAAGAAGCTAATACATGAGCAACTTTGTTACAATTCCTATTACAAAAAGCAAATGAAACATTGGAAAACTTGTTAACCCAAAAGAGAATGTCCCGATGAACAGCTTCAATTGTAATATCGGAATATTGTTTTTGTAATAGATCAATCAACAACTTGCAATCTCCTTCAAAACAAATATTCATAATACCCCTTATCCAAACTTGTTGTAATGCAGCTAGTAATGACTTTGCTTCGGCTTCGATTGGCGAAATAGACGTTCCTAGTTGAGAAGCTCCCCAACCTAAAGAAACACCATCCGAATTGCGAATGATCCAACCCCCCATTGTTCTCTTAGAAAAGCTATCAAAAGCCGCGTCAAAATTACATTTTAGAGTGTCGACCGGTGGCCGAGTCCATACTCTTTGAGGTGAAGATCTAGTCTCCGGAGTGATAGAATTTTGATCTATAGAAGTATGATTCATCCAGGCCTGAACATCACATCTTGATTTATGTAGAACCTTGGACTGAGAGAGCCAAACACCTTCAAAAATAAATTTATTTCTCGATTTCCAAATATGCCAAAGAAGCCACAAAGGTAGCATTCTTTCTTGTTGGGAGAAGGATGTGAACTGAAAGTCAATAATATTTTTTAAATTTTGTTCACTATCAATGGAAGGAGTATATAGATTAGGAAGGTGAATATGAGAAGAATCCAAAATACGTTTAACATAAGGGCAAGTGAAAAAAATATGATTTATTGTTTCATCCGCCCTAAAGCAACGCGGACATACTGGATCTATGTTCAGTCCCCTAGAATTTAATCTTGTAATTGTGGCTAAAGATCGAGTAATGAAACGCCAAAGGAAATGTTTTATTTTGGGAAGAATATCAAGTTTCCAAATTTTGTTCTTTAAATAAGTGGAGCCGTGAGGTAAAGGTGGACGAGTATCCAAAGTATTGGGGTCGTTCATGGTAATCCAATAACCGGATCGCACGGAATACTCCCTTGTCTTGTTGTAGTGCCAAACCACATCATCTGCAGTTACTTGCTGAGAAAGGTAAATATCTTGTAAAAGAGCATGGTCCTCAGGTCTTATTTTTTCCGAAAGTTTCCTCGTATCCCATTGTCTATATCCTCTAGTCGTCGAGATCAAGTCACTTATATGAATCTCCGCATCTGGATTAATACTATAAACCGGTCTAGGAGGATGTGTTAAAGAGACATTGTCTTTATTTATACGAATATGCTCACCATCGCCAATTTTGAATCGTGTTCCTTTTTTAATAACTTCTAAACCTGCAAGAATCGATGCCCATCCATACGATTGTTTTGATCTATTTTTTGCATCTAATATTGAACAATCACGGAAGTACATAGCTTTCATAATACGAGCAAATAAAGATTCTGGTTGTTTAATGATTCGCCAAGCTTGTTTCGCAAGTAAAGCGTCATTGAATTTCTCCAAATCTTTAAAACCCAATCCACCATCCTTTTTAGCATATTGAAGGCGCTTCCAAGCTATCCAAGATATCCCACGATTCTGATGACCTTTTTCCCACCAAAACTGTTGGAGTACTGATTCTCGATATAAGACCAAGGGGTAGCTTGAAGCAAGACATTGAGTAAACAGGCATTGACATAGCAACAGACTTCAGCATTATCTCTTTTCCCGCCGGAGATAAGTATTTTGCACTCCACGTCGAAGTACGTTGTTTGACTCGATCAATGATGTAATTAAACATTTCCTTTTTTTTCTTTCCAAATTGTTCCGGCAAGCCTAAATATTTTCCCCCACCCCCATGGTTTGGAATATTCAGAATGTTTTTAAGTCTATTTTGCGTGCGTCCATCTACTCTTGAACCAAATGTTATAAGAGATTTATTCATATTAATTTTTTGCCCTGAGTAATATTCATAGACTTGAAAAACCTCTTTTATAGCTTGACAATTTCTAACATTTGCTTGACAAAAGAAAAGAGAGTCATCAGCAAATTGGAGGTGGGTTATTGAAGGAACACCATTGCCTATCCGGACTCCACGAATATCTCCATCTTTCACACGAATTCGAATAAGGTGGCTCATTATATCATCACAAAGGATAAAAAGATATGGAGATAACGGATCCCCTTGACGAATACCTCTCCCAGGAACGACTAAGCCATGAGGAGTACCATTGATCAATATTGAGTAACGAACAGATCTAACTGTAGCCATTATCCAATTAATCCAAATTTCAGAGAAACCAAATAATTTCATTGCAACCTCCAAAAAGTCCCATTCCACTCTATCATAAGCCTTAGTAACATCAGTTTTAATGGCCATATAATTTTTTGAAACTCTTTTTCTTACTTTTAAGGAATGCATCACCTCATGTGCGATCATAACATTATCATTTATATGACGACCCGGAATGAAAGCAGCTTGGGTGTCTGAAACTATGCCATTCAAATGTTTTTTTAACCGATTTACTAGGCATTTAGATATAATTTTGTAAAGGACATTACATAAAGCAATAGGTCTGTAATCTGATAAAGTGGAAGGTTTATCATGTTTAGGTATCATGCATATATTTGTGTGATTGATACCTGGTTTCATAAAGGAGGTTGCAAAGAAATCCTTAACTTCCATTATTATATCATCTCCTATGATATCCCAATACTGTTTATAAAATCGAGCAGTCAAACCGTCTGGTCCTGGTGCTTTGTCATCGCCAATGGAGGAGACTGCTTCAAAAACTTCGGTCGCACTAAACTCTTTGGTAAGATCATCGTTCATGGTTGCTGAAACAGTGGAGGGGAAATCGCCAAAGTCTATAGGCGCAACAGGAATTTTACTTGACGTGTAAACATTAGTGAAATACTCTTGTGCATGGTCTCCAACTGCTTTATCTCCTTGATAAAAATTATTGTGATCATCCCGAATAAAGGAAATAAAGTTGTTAGAGTATCGTGTTTTTGTACTTGCATGAAAGAAACCAGTGTTTCGATCACCCAAATTCATCCAAGTATTCCTACTTTTATTTTTCCAATAGTATTCTTCGTCATTGTAAGCTGATTGGAGCTCCCTTTGCAGATTTGGAATTTGTTGACGATGGCATCGGTTCAAACTCTCCATGGCTTTGTTTAGGGCTTCTTGGAAATAAACAATACGCTTAGCTGAATTAATGTTAGAGTTATGTTTTCCTTTTGCCATAGCTAGACGACAGTTAGATATTTGATCACCAATAGAATAGAAACGTTTTGTTTTGCAATGATTCCATCCTTTTTCCACAATAATATCAAAGTCAGGAATATTGGTTAGCCTCTTATCAAAACAAAAGGTTTTTGGTGATTTGTATATGTGTTCGTGAAGGTTGTAGACGTGGGTTTATGGTCAGAACCACAAAAGTCCATGAACTCAGTTACAACATCAGGAAAACTTGCTGTCCATTCATTGTTGGCCATGACTCTATCAAGACAACAACTAACAGTGTGATTACGCCTCTCTCCTATCCAAGTAAACCGATTTCCTTTAGACTGAATATCCTGAAGATTACAAGATGTAACCATGTCTCTAAAATCTCTAAATGTCCACTCTTCTCTACGAGGACCTCCAATCTTTTCATCATTATTCAAAATCTCATTAAAATCCCCTACTAACATCCAAGGACCAACTCTTGTTTGACTCAAAGTTTTTAACTGATCCCAAAATAAGTATCTATCACTTTGAACTGGATTACCATACACACCAGATAAATAAAAACTTATATTATTAAAGTTAACATGAACATCAATCATACGTTTATCCTGAGAAATTCTGGATAAACATACATTGTTTGTCCACATCATTGCCAAACCACCACTTCTGCCACTAGGTGGTTCAGTTATTACATTAGAGAAACCTAGAACTGAAGCAAAATTACATACAACATCACACTGATTAAGTGTTTCACACAGAAATAAAACATTAGGCTTTACAATACGACATAAACGCTTTAATCTCATTTGAGTCAACTGAGTGCAGACTCCTTGGCAATTCCATGAGACGACTCTCATGGGGGAAACAGTGAGGGTACCGGGCCCCTCGCGCCACCGTCCATTGCTGGATTTAGAATATAATTCATTTGGAATTTGAAATCTAAAAAATATGAAAAATTAATTCGAAATTTAAAAAATATTAATGAAAAAATATATTTTATATTAGTTAAAGATTTTGATACAACTGCAAAATTAATACAATTAAATTCCAAATCCAATATTTATTAGACATTCTAAATATAGTTACATTTTCAAAATAAAAAACAACTATACACGTACGTCTACCCGTTAAAACAATATGTTTCATTCAACCAAATACAAACTACACTCATATAAAAAAAATGAGTACTATAAAATACTCCTAAACTACTTAATATTTTTAAGAAACTTAATTACACATAATCCCGCGGTGTACCGCGGGTTCAAACCTAGTCTATACTAATAAAAAGGAAGCATTTTGTATAAATCAATCATAGTTTATAGAATCAAAAAAGGTAAAACAAAACCAATGTGAATATAAGAAAACTACATAACCGAACCCCTTAATTATAGAAACAATTATCGAAACAAATTAATATCATAAAATTTAATGCTACACCATCGACTAATATCTTGGAGAAGATCAAATAATATAATCACACTTTAAAATACATTCCAAAAATATAGGAAACAATTTAAACAATTATATAAACAAATTAAACTCATAAAATTTAATCCTACACCATCGACTAATATCTTGGAGAAGATCAAATAATATA